GTTTTGAGCTTTTTGCTGTTGTTATTGTTGGGATGCTGCTTTTGAACTTTCTTTCATTGATTCTAGCGGCACATATGTATGTATGTACATACATAAATAATAAATACATTAAGACTTTCTTTCATACCGCATCGTCCGTCGTCGTGCCTTTCTGTCCACCTGTCCACCAGTCCACCAGTCTGCGGTTTCGTGTCGTCCTCTATTGAATTTTGAACGCTCTGTGTTCAGTGTTCTAAGGCCCCTGACCCAAATATTTGCCAAACGGCCAGCGAGCTCCCAATACCAACACCAACACCAACAGACTCATTGACTGACGCTCTTTCACCCGATCTGTGCACCTTGTGTCATTTTTTTGTGGCCGCACTGCGTGTTTGTTTGTTTGTTGTGCTGTGTTGTGTTGTTGGCACAACAACCGCCCGATTATCAGCAGCTCTAACCCATTTACATGCATTTACAGCGCACAGTCGCAGTTCTTCTCTCCTCCATCATCGTCTTCAATGTTACACCTTTATCAGCGTCTTCATTGGCGTGACCCAATTTCTTTGGTAGTTCTTTTTCTCTTTTTGGGTTGGGTTACATTTTGATTGGTTCTTGTTTGTACACTTTAGCAGCTGAAGAGTTTATTGAAGCTGTTATGATGTTTGCTAAAGCCTTAAAGCTTGATTTAAAATCTTTTCTTTATAGGCATTTCCAGGAAGGTTGTGAGATACCAGACTGATTCTATTTGAATACAAATTTATTAATTGCAGTGAAAATATTTTCCGTCATTTTGCAAATAATAGTTGTTATCAGCCAAGTGCAATACCAGTATTATACAAAAATTTGAAATATATTTAAAGTTATTTAAAATGTATTTAAAATTATTTACAATATTTCAAAAATATTTTAGTCGGTATAGAAAATTTATTTTCAGAAAAAATTATTTTCCATGATCGATGATAACTCCTTATACGGTTAATTTATTTTAAAAAAGTTTATTTTTCTTGAAAGGCCATTAATAATATTCAATATAGATGTCTTGCCACAAAGTTATAGATTTATTGAAAATGATTTTATTTTATTGAGCACCAGAATTCATTCTTTTTTAAAGTATGCTTCTTTATTAGAAGTTTCTAGTTACTTATTATATTTATTTATTAAAAATACATATAAAACCAATAATTAAAAAACATATAAGCTGCTAGGGCCATCGACGCGAATTATAAATATAAAGGCTAGGATAGTTTACGGGCCTCAAAAAATCTATGGATGAAATCGATGTTTATGACTGCCGGTTTTGAGAGTTACTCTCGCGTAACTGATATAGAAACACTGGTCTACATATTGCTGATTAGTAGATGCTTACCAGCAATCGAGCTCAAGGCAACATTTTTTCCCAATTATTTTTATTATCAACGGCCAAAATATTAATTTAAAACAAGAAAGGAATGCTAAAGTCGAGCAGGCTCAACTCTTAAATACCCTGTACCACCCCACAAAAAAGTAATTAAATTAATTAATTAATTTAATTTAATTAATTAACTAAATTAATTTAATTAATTAACTAAATATTAACTAATTAAATATAAAATATTCCATGCATGCATACATACATTTACAATTACATCAGAATCGTGTCTATGCGTGTTTGTGTACTTGTACATATGTATGTATGTGTGCATTGAGCCTGGTTATATGGCTATAACTTTTTTTCCGATCATTCTATCATAATGAGACTTGGTATACGGTTATATAATTACTAACCTAATGTGACAACCAAATTTTAGTTAAAAATTCCAAGAATTACGGGAGTTATAGAAAATCGTTAATAGGGGGGGAGTGGGGGGTTGGATCAAAAAAAATGAACAAACTCGTCCTTTCTCGGTCTCAGGAGAATCTGTATACCAAGTTTGGTTATTCTAGCTCTTATACTTTCGGAGATCCTTGCGTTCATACAGACAGACAGACAGACGGACAGACGGACAGACAGACGGACAGACGGACATGGCTATATCGACTCGGCTTGTCATGCTGATCAAGAATATATATACTTTGTGGGGTCTACCAAGCCTCCTTCTGTGTGTTCCATGTGCACTCGCACTAAACTAATATACCCTTGTACCCTTTGGGTACAGGGTATAAAAATAAAAATTTGATCAAAGTTGGAAAGAAGCCAAAAGTTACTGTTGCGGTTAGTTGTTTGTGGTGTTTTAGTTTTGCTCTTTCGAATCAAAAGCAGTTAGATTCAGTTCTTTTATATTTTTCAAAGTAAATACAAAATATCATTTACTATTTATTTAATTATTTTTATTCAATTTTGTCAAAGATTTTTATTCTAAGAAGGCATTGCACACATGCCTTCGCATATGAGTTTTCATCATCTTTACATTTTTCAAAAAGTGACAGAATTCCACACAAAAAATAATAAAGTTCCTAGACAAAGAATGCATTAAAAATGCTTGATATATATTGGCTTAAATGGCGCAGTAATTGGAGCTAGAAGTATGCCTCATTCGCTCAGATCCGGAGCTATGTATTAGTTCAGCAAATGCCACTACAAGACTAAGCAGAACTAAAGTTGGTTTCTTTTAAAAATAAAATATTTTTCCAATTGGTGCTAAATAGTTAAACAAATATTTACCTTGACAGAGTTATTAATCAATAAAGCAGTTGCCAGTTCAATAAACGAATTGCTGCCTTCCAAAGATTCGACATAGCCAACAGAAGATGGTGCAGATGCAAAGGTGCTGCAACATCTTGTTGAATGCAACAGCATCAGCTTTTAAGCATCTGAAGAGTGGCCTGCTGAAATAACTTGGAGTTAGCAGAACAATGAATAGTTTCAAACGCTCATTAGTTAGCATTGTAAATATATTGTGGAAAGCATTTATATAGTATTTATATATAGATACGATATACTAATATAGTTACATATTCATATTTTTGAATATCTTGGGCTGATATTTTCTAATCCAATTTCAAATTTGTTCGACTTACTTTTTAGCTGAACTAAATTCTGGAACATAACTTACCGAGTTAAATTAAAAGAGCATACACGATTCGTTGCATCACAATTATCTTTGCTTCACCTTTTGATTTTTATTTCGTTTTCTCTTTTTCATTTCGTGTGTGTGATTGCTTAGAATTCTTAAGAGCTTGTTAGCACTTTTGACCCGGGGGTCTAGTATTAAAACCAATTTACTTTCGTTTTGGTTGAGTCTTTTGTTAACTTGTATTGGTTTCCACTTTGATTTGGAAGAACTTTTCGGTTTCCGCTGGAAATCTACAAAAATCTTAATGATGGCATCTTTTACACGAATGCATTTGGGAATCCATAAAGAGACGGAGATAGGTGTAAGTGGGTGAACGTAAAAGTTGTAAAATGGAAGTGGAAACATTGGGTCTATATTAAATAGCCATCCTATCAACCGCAAATCAACGACTATGTATGATTAATGAACGAACAGTTGAACGAAGTTTTTAATAAATCACATGAATGCAAAGCATTTTATTTACTTTTTATTTTAACAATTATTAATTTTTTCTTAATTTCTCTTGCAGGTATGTTTCGAGAATTATTTGAAAACTTTCAGTAAGTAGATCATATAATTTATTTACTTTCTCCATAAAATATATTTCTCTTATGGCAATATATTTATAGCAAAGAAGTTTTATTTAATATTTTTATTACATATTACCAAAAGATAATCTACATATTTCTACCCATTTCATGAGTTCATTTTAATTTATTCAGTGTTTGTCATTTTTTATTATGATTTATTCAGTGCTTGTCATTTTTTATTATGATTTTAAATAAAATTAAAGAAATTAAAATTTTTTGAGAACATTTTTGCGTGCTATTTAAAATGTTTGAGCAATTGGGAAGATATTCTATACAATACAACAAGTGTTCTTTGTTTTTTGGGAAAAATTTTTTAATTCTTCGAAAATACTTGTATGAGGTATAGACAACTTTTTTCAGTGTGTGTCTGACCTTGTATTTTGATAAATCTATTATTTTAAAACTTTTCGAGGGAGAAGTCTTTAATTAATTTCAGCCCCGAAAAAATCACTCGTTGCTATAAGTGTTTTAATGTTTTTTTTTGACAATATGCACCCGATTTTCTGCCAATGAATGAGTCTGCGAATAAAATAATAGCTTTATCTCTATTTGAATATTTTGAGGTCACGTTCGTTTCAACTTTGCAGTTTTTTGTGCGCAGATACTTATGATTATTATAAATATGATTAAGCTATTCAACTAAAAACTTTATGTCAAAGTCATGCTCAGTGGGTCAAACACCTTAGGCCACAAATAGCAACAACAACAAGACTACCAAGAAACCAAGCAATATGAATGCAATAAAGTTATAAATCTGTGCAAAGAGAGATACAACTTGTTCGATAAGCTCGAGCTATATTTATATGACTAGTCATCTAATTTATAGCTAAATAGTCAGAAAAGAAAGCCAAGCCACACCAAGGCGGGCAATCAAATCAAAAACAATTAACATAATTTTTTTCCTAAACATCTAGTCGAACCACTTGGAGCTGTCAACGCAGGCGGCATTTTGTTTTACGAGTATGTGTTGTCTGGTACTTTGTTTTTTGTTGTTGCTGTCGGTTTGCATAACAAAAGACCGATATCTGTGATATATTGATAGATGAGCTTATTTGCTAAATTGGGTCAAGCATCAAGCTCTATACCCTAAGGGCTTGCCATGGAGAAAGATATTAGAATGAAATGCGCCGCGAAGATTATGCAAAAATTGTAGATAAAAATTATATTTTGATTTTGATTTTTATTCCACGACTACTTCAACTGACTGGCAGTTTTAGTGCGCCATTAAAAGCTAATGCCGCAGATATATTTTTATGCAGATGTGATGATACTGGAAGCGATAGGGTTGTTCTGCCAAAATCTATAAGAATCGTTTAGTTCTGACTTTCTACAGCAGTTCAGTTGTGATTCGCGTTGCGTGTGGTTGGCGTTATTCTTTTCATTTCCTGTGAGTGTGGCCATGAAATTCAAGCTGTTACATTTGTGGTTAGTCTGCAATTGTCTGGCTGCTGGCATTGATGCTATTTACCAATATCAGAATCCTCAAAACAAGTCAACACATGCTGGCTATTACTATCCGAAGCCGGCAAGATTGCCGCCCCTGCCAGAGTCAAGCAGTCAGGGACCACCGGCAGGCGCACAAGGCGACTATATTGATGATCTGATCGAGAGCCAGAAACAGCAAATCTTGTCCAATGTGCTGGGCGTGCCAGCGCCCAGTCAGAACATGCCGCAGTTCACATTCGGCCCAGCCGCGCCCCCATTGGACGGCGATGCGAAGGCGTTTCACGTGAATCGTTGCGCCAGTTGCAGTGAGTAGTAGTAAGCAGTGTACAGTGGGATATATTGGCTGACTATGTGGACAAAAGTGCAACAAAAAAAAAAAAAAATTGCATATATACATCGATTGCCTGAAACTTGACATTTTGAAACGATTGAAAAAGTAATCATAAACTAGTGAGACTGAAAGTAGTTTTGGGGAAATCAGAGATTATTGTGACGACGTCAATATATAAGATTTAAATTTAGACATATAGTCATGCATCAAGCAAAAGATAAAACTGTGACAACCGATCCAATTTTGAATGTTCTCTAATAGAGTTGCTATAAATTTTATTCAAAGAATCAGTATTTACAAGTTTTATGGTTTGATCGATTACCATTCTTTTATTAAAATAATTGCACGCTTTTAGAAGAGTTCCCAATGCCAAATAAATTGTATTCCTGCAGAAGAACTCTATTTTCTAAAACTCTTTTCAATTATATACGAAATTAGATAGAAAGCTACTTCAAATTTACAATATTAGAGTTGTAATAAAGAGATTCTTTTAAATAAATTCCAGGAAAATTTAAAGCAAATTTAATTGTATTTGAAAAGCCATTTTTTATTGATTATTGTTCGCAATAATATTCTTCACAATTAAACCTTTTTAGTGAAAAGGCCATGGTAACATTTAGTGGCAATTGAGTGTAAAACAATGTAGGCACATGATTTTGCAGAAGGAAACAAATGCCTAATTGAAAAGAAAATACTAATACAATTTTTGTACAGGGTGCGCCATCTTTTATGTCGGCATGTAAACATTGAATAACTTTGTCATTAGTGAACCGATTGACTTGAGTAGACCAGTGTTGAAAACCTCAGTTCAAGAAATTGTACAGAACCAAATTAAATAAAAATATACTTGAAAATCGGTTGTTTATTTTCAAAGATATTCAATGTTTACATACCGACATAAAAGATGGCGCACCCTGTATAATCTCAACAAACTTAAATAAAATTGTATCCACCGATCTACATACACAGAATTTTACAAGCAAAATTTTTCATTTCATTTCGTCATTCAACATTATTTGTTATTTGAGTGGGGTTTTAAATTAAATTAAAATACAACATTTAAAAGAATTTTGTGATAATGCAAATAATTCGCATTCAAAGTTTTCGTAATTTACAAAAAGACTAAACAAGACAAACTCTCCAACTAGATTGATGATTATTTAATTCTTATTAGTTTTAATTGCAATAACATAATATTCATGACATGCTCCAAAAATTCGATCGATTTGCGTGCAAACAATTTGCCTGTCTGGCCGCAGCTTAAATTTGAAAATACTTTATTCGTGTGATTTAGTATTGTTCCATTTGCTCGTAAAATTCGATATATTTGCGTGCAAACAATTTGCCTGTCTGACCGCAGCTTAAATTTAAAAATACTTTATTCGTGTTATTTAGTGTTGTTCCATTTGCTCCAAAAATTCGATCGATTCGCGTGCAAACTATTTGCCTGTCTGACCGCAGCTTAAATATAAACATTCTTTATTCTGGTAGCTTTGTTTTGTTGCATTTATAAAATGCAAACCAGTTGTTACAATATGCCAATTTTCTATACCATGTCGAAAGGCCCTTAAAATGTCACAGTAAATAGCCGGTTAATTGATGAAAAATTTGTAGAATTACTAATCAAATTGTTCAACATGTTGTCCAAATTGCTCGCCAAAATATCCCACTGTCCGACTTAGATGTCCAGTTGCTGACTTATTGAGCTCCTCAACTTCCTTTGCCCGACCGCAGCCTGCGGCGTGCCAAACGTCAATCGCATTGTGGGCGGCACACAGGTGCGCACCAATAAATATCCGTGGATAGCGCAAATGATACGCGGCACATTACTTTTCTGTGGCGGCACACTGATCAACGATCGCTATGTGCTGACCGCCGCCCACTGTACGGACGGCATGGACATGTCCAGGGTGTTCGTTCGATTGCTCCAACTGGATCGCAGCCACACACATTTGGGTGTCACTCGCTCTGTGGCCTTTGCCCATCAGCATGCGGACTATAACAGGGTCAGTCTGGTCCATGACATTGCGCTGCTGCGTTTGTCGCAACCGGTCCCGCTCTTCAATGACATGCGACCAGTGTGCCTGCCCAGCAGCTATTACCAGCAGTTCGATTTCCGGCCGGCCGTCGTCGCTGGCTGGGGGTTGACGCGCGAGAGCGGCTCCACGTCCAGTGTGCTGCAGGAGGTCACGGTCCCCATTATAACCAATGCCCAGTGTCGTGCCACTTCCTACAGCACCATGATTGTCGACACGATGTTGTGTGCCGGTTTTGTCAAGGAGGGCGGCAAAGATGCCTGCCAGGTACGTGAATGTGTTAAGCTTTAAAGCACGGTTTTCATGTGTTAGCATTGCTCTCTATTGGGTACCAGAATAGGTCCAATCAAGCTAGCTTAATTCGAAAAATATGTATAATTAAAAGCATAAAAAGGAATCAATTCAGTACTGATCCAGAGTGCGTTTAAGAAAACATTAACATTGATCAGAAACGAGCATTACTGCAGTTATTTTATTGTTCACCATTTTTTGAGGCTACAAGGCGCTTTTGCTTTAATAAATGACTTGGGAGCCGGTTCTTTTAGATAATAGGATAGGTAGTCCAGTTGTGATCTTAGCAAGATCTATGTTTTGTGGTACTCCTAGAACGACTAAATGCAATTATTTTGGAAACTTAGGACTTAATGCTTTCATGAAATACTTAGGTCTTAATGCTTTCACATGAAAGACAATGTATTAATATACTATAAAAAATATAGAGATAACCTGAAGCCTGTACTTGTAGAAGGTACATTTAATCTTCTTTAATCGTTTTAAAGTTTCTTAACTTTGCTCGGTCATACAATTTTTGTAATTAATTATAAAATCCATTATAATTTTTCTCAGCATCTATCACAAATACCAGATATACATATATTTCAATTTACTCGTATATATATTCTTTCATATATTTCAAAACTTGGCGGGTTTCTTAATTCTATTCGATAAAAAAGTAATGCCGCTTATCCTACAACTTATACTGTGAAACTTTTCATCGCCATGTTGATAGTATAGAGAAGTACGAATCTGTTCCCAACTCAGAAGCGATTTTAATCACCCTAGTTGTAAACTTCTACGAGTTAAAGCACTTTTGAGAAACAGGCAATTGTGACGATAACGAGGTTAAGAATTGTAATTGCTATAAATAATATCTTCACAGGGAGATAGTGGCGGCCCTCTAATAGTGCGTGATCGGATCTTCCGTTTGGCCGGCGTCGTTTCCTTTGGATATGGTTGTGCCAAGCCTAATGCGCCGGGGGTTTACACACGTGTCAGTCGATACTTGGACTGGATTGCCGCAAATACACGCGATGCTTGTTATTGTACCAATTAAAATAATGGTGTGGTCAGTGATCAGCAGTATATATATATATAAATAAAACTAATCAGTTGATGACTTGTAATGTTTAAGTGACTGTTCAATAAATGCAAGCGACATGTAATCGTTTGATTTAAGCAACCAATTAGCGTATAAAGAAATATAAAAATTGTAAATACACAGTTTTTAATTAGCAAATGCAATATCCGTGCTTTTAATAGAAATTAATTTGAACGTTCGTGTTCTTTTAAGAACGCTGGCCTTAGTACAAATCTTATTTGTAAAGGTTCCGATTAAGGTACGTCCAGTATCGATCTTCTAATCTTATCTGAATTTTGCTGGATATTGGTAGAGCATCTATAAATTTGTTAAAGTTTCGAAGTTTTAGCGATATCTGAAAAAATATATATTTGAAACTTTTAAAAACATTTAGATCGACTCAGAAAAATTAAAAACTAATAGGTTTTTGAATTAATATTCGTAGTTTCGAAGTTTTAGCGATATCTGAACAAATATCTATTTGAAACTTTTGACAACATTTAGGTCGACTGAGAAAAATTAAAAACTAATAGATTTTTGAATAAATATAAAAACAAAGGTTAAGAATTACATATGAATAACGTTTAGAATATGCAGCATTGGAATTGTGGACAGTATTGATAAAATTCCATACCAGGGGGAGGGGGGAAATATAAAAAAATACAGATCAGTTTTTGTTAATGTAGGATTAGGCGCTTTCAAAATCCAGGCGTTCATCCAGACAGACAGTCTGAGATGGAAGGAGGAAGAAGGAATTCTTCCTTTTCCGTATTTTGCATATTTTAAACAATTTAATTAAGTTTTTTCTTATAATATGTCCCAAGTACTGTTAAGTAGCTTATTCTTAAAGGATACTAATGGCGCTGAGTTTAAAAGTCTTGGATAATTGTTTGAGCAACAACAAATGCAGGAATGGGATTAAAGTTTTTGATTTTAAAATTTCATTTCCCAGGGAGGCGAATTCTTTATTAGTTATTTCTATAGTTTTTATACTCCTCCATGTAAGTGTCCGTCCATTGAATGGCTTTGAAGGTCGCTATACAGGCTGTGAGTGGAATTTTAATGTTGGAGGACTTACACATTTCTTTGATAATATCCTTTCTGGAATTTAAGCAAAAATAAATGCAGGAATGAGATTAAAATGTTTACTTTTAAAATTTAAAATTTCAATTCTTCATTAGATATTTCTAAAGTTTCTATACGCCTCTACGTAAATGTCCATATATTGAATGGCTTTGAAGGTCGCTAGACAGGCTGTGAGTGGAATATTAATGTTGGAGGACTTACACCTTTCTATGATAATATCCTTTCTGGAATTTACATAAAACGTACTGCAGGCAGCACACCCGCAACGCTACTTTCTACAACATTTGCCTTGCAGTTTAGTTAGGTATTTTGCAAATGTTTACAAACAGGTTACGGTTGATGTTAACCCTCTAGCCTGCAGGCAATGAAGTCAAAAACGAACAACATAAAATTATAGTCGGCCTTTCACTTTTTGTAAACATTGCAAAAAAACAAAAAAAATAGCAGCAACAAAATCCAACACACACACTCCCTACGCCGTCCATTTTTGGCGACGTCATCTTAACAAAAATCGAAGCCAAGGACGCCAGCCATCGTCGTTGTAGTCTCAGTCGCAGTTGTTGTCGACAACACATTGTTATCACTTGTCAACGTACATGTAGTGTCATTCCCATTCCCTATTCTGCCGTCCCCAAACCCCAATCCCCCGATTCCATGGCAGAGCAAATAGCCTGCTGTCGCAGTTGTGTGCAGAGCTCAAAACTTTATCCTTATCCCTGCACAGAGATTGCCGACGACGTCGCTGCGTGCCACTATTTAATGGATTTTCAAGTTATTTCTGGTATTTTGGTGTAGTTGCCACCGCCGCCGCCACCGCCACCGCCGCGCCGCCACCACCGGCACCGCTGTCGATGACGTTGTTGTAGTTGTTGTTGCTGTGGAGTTGCTGCTGTTGTCGGTGCAAAAAATTGAAACAAAGATATCTCAGCGGCAACTCGGCGACTTGGCGAACTCGTTTGTGGGCTTGGGCAAAGAAAATGCCGCATAATTGCCGCTGGACTAAAATGTAAGACGCGATCGGTGGAGCGTCTAGGGGGGGCGAGTGCCTAATCGGCAATGTTGTCAATGTTGTTGGTCTGGCATTTGATTTTATTTTTAACTATCTCGAAATAGACGGCATTGCTCGAATGCAATGAAATAACATGGATACAATAAATACTTGTTACATCGTACCTGCGTTTATTTAATGCAATCGCTAACACAATCGATTATGGAAAAATCGGAAATACAGTTGCATTATTTATTTCATTAATTATTATATAATACGGACGTTTAATTGGTTTACAAACATTTCGCAGTAATTATATTCCATAATTCGAAACAAATAAGCAAATACATTTGTCTAATAAAGCTTTAATTGGGGAGTAGTTAAGTATGTAGGGTTAGCTTCTCTAGAAGCGCTTTATCCAGAAATTAAAGGAAAAGGAAGTTTTTAAATTATTTTTTAGTAGTACTTGGTATCATAACTGATAACAGTTCGAAGGAAGAAATTTCTTCTCAGTCTTCTGTTTAAGCATTCTATTACAGAAGAACTAAAAAGTACAAGTACAAGTAGGTATTAAAATTAAAAGCTTATCAAAATTCTTCGAAGGTATTTAAAGGCAAGTAAAGCTGCGGAAAAAAGCTATTATATATTTAGAAAAACAAAAAGTTAATTCTTGTAACCAATACTGAAGGGTGTTTGTAAAATGGTATTGAAACTTTAACTGATAAAATTAGGCAAATTGTTTCTGGCTTGTTAGAAAATACCATGACATTGATGATACAAATTTATATTTATTTTTTTATTAAATTTATTTCGGATATTTGTTTGGGAAACTGAATTTTGGTGAGTATTCGAGAATACTCTAGGTTTCAGCTTCTAGGTTTTTTCAAGCACAGAAAATAGACTTCTTGATTGAGTAACTCGATTATTTAGGTCTTTTATTGCTTTTTGGAAATGCATAGAAATTGTAAACGACTTTTCAATAAACGATAACCTTAACTCAAAAAAACATTATTCTAATAAAAACAAATTCACTTTTATTGTATGGGTTTTTTGTTTATTTTTTTCCCGCTTTACACTGTCGATTGTTGTTAACCATTTTTATTTCTCTATTTTCTTTAATTAAGTAGGAAAGGCTAAGCTGGCCGTACTCTTACATTAAGATATCCTTACCTCACTTGTTAATTCATAATGTTTTTAAGAAATGTTAATAATTTGAAATTGAATTCTCTTTGATTCTCATTTATTACATGTTATTGAAATGTTCAATATTTCAGGCAATTGTTAAAGTATTTTTTCAAAAACCAACAATTTTGAGATTAGTGTATATCGATAAAAATTTTATTGCAACACTCTAAATAATATTGAATTCACTTTTATTTTAATTTATTACATGTTGAAATTTGCAATATTTGAAGCAATTGTTAGAGTTGCCTTTTCAAATATCAACAATTGTGAGATTAGTGTATATCGATAAAAATTTTATTGCAACACTCTAAAATCGAATATTCTATAATATTTCAACCTAAGCCAATAAGAAGTTGCTCAGCATCTGAGAAACGTTGCATATACTTCTAATTGTTCCCATTTAATACAGTCAATCGTTCGACTTGTTGGATTAAAATTTTTTTTCAAATCGAGCTTCGCTTTGAAAAGCCGCAAAAATACTTGTAAATGGCTTAAAGAACCATAAAAGATAAAACACACATGCACGCGGCTACGAGGACAAGCACATGACAGATATTTTTAGCTGTACGGACGGACACTGTGGCGACACTCCCCTAGCAACGCCCAGTTGGTTGGCCTATGCCTCGGATCAGTCTAGAAATGGGAGCAGTCTGCGTACAATAAATTGCATGTCACATTCTTGTACGCTGTTTGTTTTTGCTTTGCTGCTATTTTTCTTATTTGTTTTCTTTTTTCTTTTGTTTTTTGATTTATTCAACTTTGCACTTAGACACCAACTAACTTTAGGTGAGGCTAGTCGCCTGTGTTTCATTGCCACAATGCCGCCTGTCCAAGGTCCGTTTCAGGCGTTCGATGGCCGCAACAACTGCTTGCAGCTCTCGTTGCACGTTCGCACACTCCACGACTAGGTCGATGCAACGTTCGAACTTCTTGCCCGCCACACGCAGACTGAGCGGCAAGAGGGAGCCGAAAATATGTTTTTCAGGCGCCACATAGCCGCGTTCCGGCTCCACCGTGTACCTGAGCAGCCGGAAGAGTGTGCCGCTCAAGCAATCGGGCAGGGCCTGCTGCACAAGACGACAGAGCGCCTTGTAGGGTCTCGTCCTTGGCAGCTGTGCCGGCGCACTCCAATGCCCCTGCTGTAATCTCGTGCGTGCCAAGAGCACACTGCCTCGTTTCGTATGCTCCGCCAGTGTCAGCTGCTGTTCCGTACGCTCCTCAATCAACTGAAGCAATTGCAGATAGAGTGCGTCCAGGAGGCCACCTGTAGTTGGGGTTGGGTTTGTTGCTGCTGTTGTTGTACTTGGTTGACAATCCTTGCCAGCTATGCTCATTACGTACGCCTTTTCTTGAACCCACAGCGAGAGTTTTCGAGAGAGATTTGGCAATTTGCTTCATTAATGATTTTTAGCTCAATTTTGAGTGAAATGTCGGGGCGAACAAATTGTGTATAATAAATATATTAACAAATGAGCGCCCGGACTGTTGTTGCCTTCGCCATCGTCTTGCACAATATCCAGACACGCTTCGTTAAACAATTTAACATAATTCTCACATTAATCGCGCGCGACTTTGGCAGAAACCTTGGGGAGAAATTTCCACGCTACGCTGACCATTATTAAAAAGATAAAGATATATACGTATAGTACATATATATAAATATAGAGTCGTGGACGTAGAAGGCCATGACTAAAGCATTTTGTTGTATCCACTAAATGATTGTAGAAGAAGGCATATTTATAACTTCTCTTTACAAGTAACATTTCAAAAATCATATATGTTATGTTTCCTTTAACTAGTTAAGACTAGTTATAAGTAATTGCCTTTATAGTCCCAAATCGAATGCCAAACATCGTCTTCGTATCACACATTTTTCTGTTTGTTACAATCAACCCTATATGTTTCAGAACATTTCAAGACCTCAATATATATTCACGCTATGGTTGAGCACTGATTTCTGAAGCGGTTTTCTTCTTGTTGGGTCAGCTGCCACATCGTGAACTTATATTATAAGTTTTATTTACAAAGACATTGACATTTAACTCCAAAAATATTGTCAAGTAATCGTTTATGAACATTTAATTAAATTACCCCCATTTGGGGTCGAATTGGCTTTTACGTCGTATTCAGCAGCTCAATCTGTGGGCCAGCTATAAATGAATTAAATTTTAAAAAAACTACTTTACCACTACTTTAGACCTTCAGCAAACATATTTACTACATTATCTTCTAATATTCTTCAAATTAAAGTATTATCTTATAAAATATAGGTGCACCAAACAAATTGGTTCTGCGGGCGCTCTATCGAGTAAATTTTTTTTTTAATCAGGCCACCCTCTCATTATTTGAGTTATGATGGTATTTAATATAAAATTTTTCCTATTTGGGAGTAAAATTTTCCAAAACCTCATGCTGAATATGGTAGATCTAATTCGGTTAATCCAATTGGTGCCATGGAAGCTATCGATCTGCGTTTATAGGATTTATTTCAATTTCGTTCTTTTCGAAGAAATATACACATTCTAAAAATATCTGCATTAAGTACAGTTTCATTTGCATTTCAGTCAACGTTTGGAAAAAGATAGATGATTATCTATTTAAAACAGTTAGGAAGCTGACACTTAAATATTATTTTTCTTTTACAGTAAAGCGAAAAATTCGAACTCCAAAGTGGGGAAAAGGTTTGCAAATATTGTATGAAAAATCTGAATTTTTCAACCGATCGACACTCCTCTAAGAAAAAATACAAAATAAACTGTGTTTTTTTTTTTTTCAATTTTCTGGAAGCTTTATTTATTGGCTTATTTTATTATTTATTTATTTATTGGCAATGCAATGCTTTTTTGTTAAGTTATATTTTAGCCAAATTATTAAAGATTTAAAATTTAATTCAATTTTTTCTATAAATTTAATTTTAAAGCCCAAAAATATTTAGCTAATAATATAAAAGCGAACGAAAAGGTCTCTACAAATACAAACTATAGTTGTCTCTAGATTTCGTGCATAAATTCAGTGTTGCAGTAGAGGTATTTAATTTAGAGTATCTGCGAGTCGAGGGTACACATTTACGTAAACTTGTCTTGATTACAATCTTATTCCAAATTAGACTAAAAACATAAACGCAAACGCCTTCCCCGCCACTGTCACTATCAACGCTTTTCTTCTCCCCAACACAAACCGCACACATTTTAATAAATTGCCGGTTATTAGGGACCAGTGCTGGAAAAAGTGCAATTATAATGCATTTGCACTCATTGGCTGGCCAGTCCAGGTCTGGGTTGAGGAAGTGAGCATAAGAAATTAGCATAGGCATTGTAAGTTCAGTATTGTTGTAATTTTTTGTTCAAAAGTTATTTCTGCACCGCCTTTAGCAGCAAGGGGCAGTTGACAGCAAAAAGCGGCGCACTAGTTTCCCATAATTTGCGTAGCCGTGTAGATAGATAATGAGCCAGAGTTACGGTCATGGTGGATCCGGGGGGCGATGGCGCTGCGGTCAGTTAAATGTGGCAGCATGGCAAATGGTGTGAAACTTTGTTGGGAGGGGGGCAGATGGGACGATGGTTGGCGGTCGTTGCATTCATTGTTTGCAACCGCATTCAGTTTTTAATTTGCATAAATGGCAGGCAAAAGTGCTTTTAATAAAACCAATTGGAATTTTTACCCCACGCTCTTTGTATTGTGTTAGAAATTGTAACTAAAATAGGTAAATGAAAATAGTTAGTTAGGAAATATTTGCATATTTCCATCGATATTTAAACTGAAATGGAAAGCCAACAATTTAATGAAAAACATTTGTACCCTAAAGAGACGAGCAGTTAAAACAACGATTTGTAAACTTTAATTCGAAATTGGAATGCATTTTAATAATAAATTGTCAGTCAACATAGCATTTCATAACTCATAAAATTTTAGATAAAAGTTTTTTATTTATTTTTCCCTCGCATTCCTTTAACATTCGTTTACACAAAACATGGATACAATTTTATGAATGGCTTAAAGGCTTTCATAAATAACACATATATGGCTCAATAACTCTTAAAACGTTTCAACTCAGTTTATTTATTTATTTAGTTTATTTTTCGTCTAAAATTAATAAAATACGGAATATGGCTATCTCTTGGCGTTTTTGTGGCTTATCTGATTTGCATACGTGACTGATAAAGCGAAGTGCAAAAGTTACTCATAGCAAGTAATTCTCATTACTATATATGAACTATAAAGCCACATGTTTGTAACATTCATTACGTATTTATGGTCAGCAAGTGTTTTGTGACTCTAATTTATTTTTAAAATACAACTATTAATTAGAAAAAAAGATAATCTACTATTCTTCTAAATTGTATTTATTTTCGAAAAAATAACATCCATACCTTAAACCACACAAAGATATTTTAATTTAAAATTTAAATTGAATTTATGCAACAAATTTTGTCTCGAAGCAGATTGAAGAAGAGTGAAGTTTAGAAAGAGAACTCCGAGTAATTCTTTAAAAAGACTTCTTTACAAAATAGTGAAGACTTAGAGCAGCTTACTTACGATTTTGAAAGAATTTGAACGCTTAGCAAGACTTCGTATTGGAATAATGGACAACAAGCTTATACTGGATCTAGATCAGCAGATATAATTATATTTTATATAATTATTATTAAAATTAGATCTTTTCGCAAAGTTCTATCGTGATAAGACTAAGGAGCTTGGCAGATCTTCCAACAGCACAACCATTGTGTGTAAAATTAGAGAATCAAGAAGTAAAGATCGATCATGCCAACAATCCATCCTTGCCCTTATAACAGCCATTTCGTCATGCCAATAGGCAATTTTTTTTACACTAATTTAGCTTAACTGAAAGATAATATCTGATATGAATAGTTAGCATTGGTATCCAAAATAAATTGGTTATCTTTAACAGCTGGGGGCTAAGCTATTGTATCTTTGTCTTAGGAATAAAAAATGTAAACCAAAATAAACCAACTTTTAAAATATAGAAATATTCTAGAATTATTCTAGACTTAAAACAAAACAGTCGTCTCCTGCCAATAAAGTTGCATTTAAAACGAAACCAATGTTAATGATTTAAAAAGGAAATATTTTGAACCAACTTAGATCGATTCTGGATCCCACTGGAACTCTCAGAAGTGGAAAGGAAATATTTAAAACCAGCTTAAATCAATTCTGGGATCCCACTGGAAGGTACCGAAGGAGGTCCTCCTACACAATTTAACTAGGGAGGATTATAAAATGGTACTGTGCTTCGTCTCTTTTTTTTCAAAATAAAAGCACAATAATTCGTCAATTCAGGTGTTATTTGCACACTTCTAGACCAATGCCACCAGCTTATCGCAGCACATGGCAACCAACCAACTACCAAACCGATTAACTTGTTTCACGAACTTTCAAATGCATTTTTCACTTCAACGCTAAAATCCCACGATAACTTGCCAAAACCTACGCGAAGCCCACCCCGCACCCCGCACCCCTCACTAACTCCACTCGAATGGCAAACAAGCTACTAGTACAAGTTATTTCCTTCCTGCGCACGACAACGACTTGCAACAAAAGGCGGCAGTAACAGTCAAGTCAACTGTGGAGCTCAAACGGCAGTAGAAACAACTTCAGCAAACAATTTATGTCAACTTTCTTTTTTATCAAACAAAAAAGAAAAAAGAATCAGCAAATGCAAAAAAAAACCAGCAAAAAATTCCAAAGATTTTTCAAATATAAAATAAACCGCAGTAGGTGCTGCGACGACAACCGAGACTGCGACTGCGACAGCGACTTCGACTGGGACTTGGACTGAGATGGAGACAGAGACTGACTTTGACTCCCACATGAAAAGTTGCCAAGTCACATATGGGGGATGCGAAGGAGGCCGCTAGTTGGGCCAACAGATGATTTAGCCACTTACTTGCGGCAGGCAGCGGGCTTAACACGTTTGGCCAAAACTGCAGCAGGCAAGAAAGTTGCAAAATCATGTTGCGGTTCTTCTCGGTCTGGCCTCAAATATTTTCAAAAAACAAAAAAAAAAGCAACAGCAATAATTCGACAGAGCCAACCAAACAGGTGACCAGTCGGTGCGGTTCGTTTTAGTTCAGTTCTTGTGCTGCAGTTGTTGTTGCTTTAAACTTGTTTCAATTTTTTTTTTTTTTTTTTTTTTTTTTGGTGTACGGTTTCGTATTTTGAACTTTTCACTACGCCTCTTTTTCTTTTTTTTATAACTGTTGTTTTGTCTCGACGCGCTGCTCTGTCGCGGTAATTACACCGATCCGGCCGGCATGCCGACATCTACAGCGAACCAAAATTTGAAATCAGTTTCATTAAATAAATTGTTACCTTTGGACGACAGACAGACAGTTTAGTGTACGCTTCAATGAGCCAGTTTCTTGGCTTCCACGAAACACTCTATTGGTTGCAGAAACAAACATTTTTCTATGGGGTTTGTAACGCATTACGATTAGATTCTTCTTCATGCTATAGAAGGCAACACAGTTCTGGGATTAAGATAACGGTGCGAGCTTTCGATCTTTAAGGAATAGCAATATAGCTATTTTATGGCCTTTTTTATATTGCCAAATTTTGTCATTCGGGTAATTTTAAATGAATGAAGAAATATATTAATCCAATGTAGCTAATCTGTCTGGTTGTGGATTTCTAAAAAGTACATTTAACAATACTTAAGGATAAGACTAAATTAAAAATGTTATTCCTTGTTGTTGTTTTGTTGCTCGAATATTGGTTTTTATTCAATTGATTTTCACAAAACCTTACCATATTTCTTTGAGAGATAATTTCTAATGTTCTTTAATTCACCGAATTAAATAAGGCAGTTAGATGGGGAAAAAAGTGAATCAGGAACATACATAAGTATATAATTAGTATATCATTATAGTTTTCGGCTACTGAGTATACAAATTATATAAAAATAGGTTTTCTTAAAGGGAATGGAGTTCAAGGCACATACCCTTTAGGCTTATTCTCAGGGCCTGTAAACTACTAAATTATTTTTTATATTAGTTACTGGTATTTAACCCTTTCAGACCCCACGCCAATCCACTGAATATTGTTTTATGATTTTTTAAATATATGGTCTTTATATTTTATGAAAATTTTCTCAATGTGTAGGTTGCGCAATTTTAATATCCTTCATGGATTTTCATGACTTGGATTTTCAGGACATCCGTTTAAAATTTTAGCTGAAAAGCATTTTAAACACTAAAATGTATTTTTAAAAATATTGAAAATAAGTTATTTTTGCTATTTATTATTTTTCATGATAGCCAATAAGGTGCTTAAAATTCAGCTTTTTATTAAATCATTTATTAACTCTTTCCATTGAAGTTCTTAAAACTTTAAAATGGAGAAATCAAAATTATAAATAAGACCATATCCGTCAATGTTTATTTTTTTGGATATCCCTATTCTCGCGGTCTTCGTTTCTAAACTTAATACTATTATCGTAAAACTTTGGCTTTGATAATGCCATGCCACCAAAATTGACCATTTCCGAATGTTAATGATTATTAAAATATTTAGGAGTTAAAAATTGTATGACTCATTTTTTTGTAAGCTGAAATTATTATTTATTATATTTTTATGTCAACAAATATTGACTGTCAACATAAGAATACAATATAAAAGGTGTTAAAGCCTTACTATATAAGCTAGGAAAGCCTAAATAGGAGGGGGAAAGCCTAAGTAAAAGCTGGGCTCACATTTTAGTTAGGCCTGAGGGAAAAACAAATTAGTAGTGAAGTAATATTAACTCTTGCTCTTAATTGTAATTGTAAAATGGCATTTTAAAAATGTAACTCAGAAAACATTATTGTTATTTGTTGACCGCGAAAGTATGCAGAGAGGCATAGTATTTAAATAAAAAATTTTGCTTAACAGATTCCATTACACATTATTGTTGCCGATTTGGAATATTGTTTGAGAGGCTTCAGAACTCACAGAGCTCGAAAAAGATTGTCTATTTATGCTATTTATTATTTATTAAAATATTAGTTTTTTAACAAAAAAAAAGTCGTATTTAATCTTCCATTGAACAGCTGTTAAAGGGTATTTAATCTTCGCTTGGTGGCGTAAGCGAATTTTGCGTATTACTTCTTTTGGGTTTTAAATTTGTATCTGGCTTAAAGCGTGAAATATTTTCTGGGGCATTGAGCTTTAAATTGCGCCTCCTAAATTGCCGCAATTTGTGGCGCATAATGTCAAAGTTAGTTGGCTGCTGGTCGTAAACAATTTGGCAACTGATAATGCAGCTTAAAGTGACGCGAAGCAAAGCCTGACTTCAATTAGCCAGTCGGCCCGCTATTTTTCCCAACACTTCGCCTTCTCCTCCTCTCCTCCGCTCTCCTCGCCCCCCCCTTTTCTAGTGCTGCTCAAACAGCATCAAATATCAAGTGGCTGCGTCGTCTCGTCGCGTCGTCGTGCCACAAAGTGTGTCAGCGCCAGTCAGAAGGCAGCAAACATTTTTGCTGCCACTGTTTGTTTTTGCTGTCGCTGCCAGCATCAATGGCAGCAGCGTGCGGCATGTTGCAAGCAACTGCCATTCCACGCCCCTCTTCCTTTGCCACTGCCTCCGTATCGGCCTGCAATGCCCATCAGTCTGTTTATCTATCTAACTGTTTGTGTTCGCCAAGTGTTGACTGACAGGTGCCGCCGAGAATTTTTGGCCCGCTACAAAGCGCATAAATAAAAACTTTCGACTGCGTTGACAGTGCACACAAAGGATGGGAGAGGGGTGGATAAAAGGGTGAAATATATTGCTTGTAGAGTCAAAAGCATTGAGCGACAGGCCATTACTTAGATTTGGACCAGACTGCGCCAGTTGTAGGCCCTTTTTTGGGTGGGCTGGTTGACTTGGTTGGTAAAAGAAAAAAAACTAAAGCTTTTCCGTTTTAGCTCGAATGTCAGTCTGAAGGCAATTCTGACCATCAAAACCATTGGATTTATGTCAGTCAGCTGTTTACTGCTGTCACCTACAAATCCTTTTCAGAGCGCCTCAGTTCTCCTAAAAATTCAACGAACCATTCTGATGGATTTTAAAACGATCAACGAGCGCTTTTTGGTTTTTTTGGCACAAAAATGTTCAAAAATTAAGCCCAGAAATGGGTTAGTTGCACACTTTTGCTCTTCTGCTTATAAATATACCCTATACCCGAAATGATAAATAGGGTATACTAGACTAGGGCTAATGCAAGTACCACACAGAAGAAGGCATGGCAGCCCCTACAAATTAAATATTCTTGTTCAGTATGACAAGCAGGGTCGACAAAGCCATGTCCGAAAAAAGCCATGTAAGAGCTAGAATAACCAAACTTGGTAATCATCTTCTGCTAAACTTTCGGCTGATTTTTTAACAGAATGCTTTTCCCTTTCATAACTTATTTAAATTTATCAACGTTTTTAAATATACCTATAAATAAAACATGCCACTTGATTTCCAATTATCCATTACATTACTGATGTTTACTCGCAAGAACAGTATCATCTTTACCTCTGTGTATGGGCTATAAGAACTGTGTAATAAACTCTGATTAATTTTTGAAACAAAAATCTTTTTTTTTTGTAAAAACTTTTTCCACAAATAATAAAAAGACTCCACTCACTTGACCTTCCATTTCGGTTCTACCAGAGTCTTTTGGATAACTTTTATTTAAATCTTTTCTTAATTCTCATCAATAACTTCATTTCGAAGCTTCATGTTAAATTAGAAAATTTCTTGTAATCCGTCCTTTGTAAGATGCCACTATTCAAGGCACATGAACTGATTTAATAATTGTCATTTTAATAGAGATTTTAAATAAAGCAACAATTGAAAAGAATAATAATTTTGATAAAGAAGAATTTAATATTTTTGCTTTTGATATTATTTAAAAAACTTCTTTTTTATTTCTCCTTGCAGCCAAACGTCACAAACGATTATAGCCAAGCTCACAACCTATTCGACGATCAACTGCAAATCACCAACGATACGTAGCTGGTACAGAAACCAGCAGCTGAGTCACATACTAAAAGCTTTTCTACAATAGTGCAGACACAAACCACACCACACATATAAAATGGCTTCTACCACGCCAATTAGCACAGACAACAACACAAATTCCACAACAACATCGATCTTAACAACAACCGGTGCTGATGCCGACTATATAACTGTCGTTGAAGTTGACGATCTCACATCGTCTACCAAAGACACCAACCACTTGAAGAAACTAGTCAAACGGCAGAGCTCCATAGCCGAAGACTCATCGTTCATCACAGTTCTGACCATTAACGAGCAGCAACAGCTCTTGCAGCAACAAAAAGATGAAAGCCAGGAGCAGAAAGACGATGCAGAGGGCGAACTTGTCGTAGTCTATCGATTGCCTGGCGAACGTTTGGGCTTCGGTCTAAAATTCCAAGGCGGCACACGCAATACAGAGCTGGTGCAGAAGCTCTACATACAATCCTGCGCCGCCGACAGTCCCGCTTCGAAAGTGGCCACCAGTTGGGGGACACTGCGCGAGGGTGATGAGATCGTTAGCATAGACGATCAGGCTGTGTGTCAAATGACGCGCATTGAGTGTGTGCGTTGTCTTAAGGATAATGTGGCAATTAAGCTGATTGTGCGCAATGGACACGGTCAAAAGCCACCCAGTAGTCCGGAGGAGGAACAGGCAGAGGTGTCGCTTAATGCACAACCGCCACCACCACCTCCTGTACCGCCACGTAAGCTGGTCAAGCGTCAAAACTCTAAGGAGCAGCCATCACCGGTGCAGTTAATCATTGAGAAGCCACTGACGCCGCCACCGGATGCCGAATACTACATCAACCTCTTTGCAGAGTCCATTAAAGCCGGATCCGAATCGGATGACACGGCTAGCACTATTTCAACAGTCATAGATAAGTTCTCCATGAGCTCAAACTACTCTTCAGACACGGATCTGGCGTCCAGCCTCAATGGACATGAGTTGGCCAAAGTGTTGAAACCGTTCACATTATTGGAGCAGGAATTTCAGCTGGAGCAGCCATTGGGTAAACCGAAGCTGCTAATACCGGGCAATAACTATGAGAATGTTGAGTTCAAAACCGAGAAGATTAATGTCTACGAAAATGTGGAGCTTAAAAGTCCAATGGGCACACCTACGCCCAAGCCGCGCATTCAGTTGGCCACTGTGGAACCGAAAAAACGTTCAATCATACCCATGCCACGTAAGATTGCCACGCCGAGTAAGTTGCCCATTGAGGTGGCACCACCCACAGTGCCCACAGAGGCAAGTCCTGCTACACCCAACACCAATGAGCTCAATACAAATCCAACAAAGTCCGTTGCTCCACCACAAATGGATCATAGCACCGACACGTCAATGGTAATTAGCGTGGAATCGCCTAAAACACCTACAAACGAGCACAAGGAGTTCAACACGAAAATCCCCAAGGCTGTGGCTTCACCCTCGACGCTACAGCGTTTCCTCTCACGCGCCAAGACTGAGAGCGAGATTAAGTTGCAGCAGCCTCTGAAGCAGCCCTCGCCCCAGACCAAGTCCCGCATACCCGTAGTCAGTCCGCCCGCTGCAACAAAGTCACCTCTTGTTGTAGTTGGCAGCAATAAGTCACCGCCACCAAGCTCAAATATTCCACGTCTACTGCAGAAACAAAAGTCCGAGACGGATCTCAAGCTTGGACTATATCGCAGTAAGTCAAAGGAGTCCAGTCCCAGTCAACTGCGTCCGCCGCTTCAACGCACTAATTCCGCAGAGGCGCCTGCTCGTACTCCCGATCGCACCTACATACCTGTGCTACTCAATGGGGGCTGCAGGTCCAGCTCCAACTCCATGGAATCCCTCAGTTCGAATTGCAGTAACAGCAGCGGCTCCACAGTCAATGGTCGCTCACCCAAGGGACCCAAGCCCAAGCCGCCGGAGCGTGTGCAGTCCTTGCAAAAGACACAGATACCGAAGCTACAACAACTGCCCACAACTCCACCGCAACAGCTCCCCAAGCCCAGCATGCAGACTTTCAAGCAGGTAAGCAGTAATACCACAACTCCGGAGACACCCAAAACTACGCCCGTAAGCACGCCGTCGCCAACGAGCAATCGAGAGATACGCTTCAAAATACAAACCTATGAGAGCAAGACACAGGATGAGGATAAGCTGCCTAGTCTCTTCGATTTAGTGCATAAGCAGGAGCAACAGGATGTGCCCGTCAAAGTGCCTGCACAACGTGACATTAGCGCCCTGTTGGCGGCCGCCGCTGCCGAGGCTGTAGACTTATCCTGCGAGTCCCCACCACCTCTTGTGGTGGGTAAGTGCATGAAAGTGTTGGATGATACACAAGAGACCACTTGCTATTCAAGTTCCTCAAGTGACGAGGACGATGGGACACATGATGAGGTTGACGACGCCGAACGGGACTATGTGTGCGAGGATGGTGAGAAGTTAGGTCCGCCAGAGTTGATAAATGGACCCGGCCCATCAGAGGCATATTTTAATATGTACTGGCATTCGAATATGCTGCCCACCATAGGCGAGGTGGAGGAGGAGTTGTCATCACTGGAGCCGCAATCCTTGTCTAATGGGTAAGCCAAATATTTGCATTCGCAAACTCAGGTTGTAGTATTAAATAAGCAGAAGATGGAAGCAATTTAAATAACTGGAATATAGTCTGATTCATTAATGATTAAATGTAACAAGATGTTCCCGCCTAAAGCACGAAGAGATTGATTAGTAGAGATTAAATGGTAGAGTTAATTATAATTAGCACACGAGGAGAGTGAAGTGCAAAATTTGAAGTACATCGCTCCAGATATTGAGGCCGGAAATTTCTTGTGGGTGTAGAAGGAACTACGAAGCTTATAAAATTTATACGGTAGTTATGAAAAATCACTTGTAGCGGGGGAGTAGGGGTGGTATCGGAAAAAATTAACAAACTTGATGTGCCTAGGGCTCACGAGAATCAGGATAATTAGTTAGGTTATTCTAGCTCTTATACTTTCTGAGATCCTTACGTTCATACAGACATACATTCGCACATAACTATTATACCCTTTTACCATTTGGGTACAGAGTATAAATGTTGCTTTTGGACAGACTTAATCATATCCTGGTATAATTCATAATGGGATGAGAGATGTGTAAAATATCTCAGTTGTGTACGGATCATTAAGCTTGCAATCGAATGCTACACCAAGATCAGTGATAGCAGTGACCCGTTCCAAACATAGTCCTCCAATAAATAAGAGGAAATATGAAGTTTACTTCTCTAAAATGAGATAACTTTGCATTTTCCAACGTTAACTTATCTTCAGTAGCATTCGATTAAAGTTATATGCATGGCATATCGGTTATACTCTCTTGGAATATATCTATTACCTAATACCTCAGGAAACACAATCGTTGTTTTTGTTTAGTTTATGGAAGTTAGAATGCAAAAGCGTTCGTTGGCTAATATCGCGAGCAACGACAAGTTAAGGCAATGCGTGTGCAGCATATAACAATGAGTATATTACTTTCCCCCAATGTCTGATGTGTCTGCAGGGGTCTCCCCCCTTTCACTGATAAGCGAAATGCCGGCGTGTATACGAACCAACGCTTGCCGATAATAGCCCGAAATGTGTGAGTTAGCTGATAAAGAGTCAACAGTGAAGTGCAAACTTTTTGACGCGTAGACCAATTAGTGTTATATTCGAGGTAAAAGCAAGCGGTTCTTCGAATTTGTCGTTAGTACTATTAGAATTCGGTAATTTCCGTTTGTTGTCTCAAAGCGACAGGTGGGACTGGAAAAATTAGCATACTATCCGATAAGAAATTGCAGTAATTATTATTGTTCAATATAATTAATTGGTATTTGTTTTCTTGGCATTCTATTATTTGCAGGCCAATTGTCATTGTCGACGATTTGTGTCAACAGGCAGCCGAGTCGACGCCAACAGCAACAACTGCGAAGAAATTGCCACAGTACGTGCAGCCGCCTAAGGTGCCAGTCCCCAGTAAAATGGAAGCCAGCGAAGAGCTGCCACATGAGGTGGCGGCCAAAGAGAATGCGAACAACGATAAGATAGAGCTCTATGATGTTGATAAGCGTCACGAAGCAGCTGACCATACTGTTGTCACCGAGAGCAGTTCGAGCAGTACTAGCACTTCCCAGCAGGTGGAGAAAATAACCAGTAGCAGTAGCCAGACAGAGAACAGCAGCAGCAGCAGCAGCAGCAACGTCAGGGAGACGAGCAGTAGTGCGCAGGCAGTAAGCGAAACGTTGACCACCTCGGGAGTAAGCCACCGAATAACCACCACCAAGGTGACAACCACAAAGACAAGCAGCAGTAGCAGCAGCAGCCACTCCAGCAGCAGTAGCTCCTCGAACTTCAGTTTTCCCGATGTGGCCTTTAAGCTGCAACCGTATGAGGAGCGCGAGGAGATGCCGAATAGTTCTACACCCACCATTAAACAGACAGTGCATGAAGAGCGTCGTGTGATTAGTGAGCAGAAAACCCTAAGCGAGCTGCGAACCACCGACACTGAGACCGGCGAACAACAGCTGCTGACTAGCGCCGAGTCGAAGAGCAGCAGTGCACGCTTCAAGAAGATCAGCAGCAACGACAATCTGCTCGATTTGGACGAGCAGTTGGCACCGTTGACTGGCACCGTGTCTGCAGAGACACGTCTTATGGAGCGTCTGGACAATCCACAGGATAAACAGAGTATTGAGACGGGTATTTTGAAATTATCCGAATGTGGCAAGCAGCTGGAGCGATCGAAGAATGGCGATATAAGTTACACAGAATGCGAACAGATCGAACAGCAAAGCTATTTGGAGGGACAGCAAATTCTCAACGATGAAGCCGTTGATCCCACAGCCGAACCTCTGCTACAGCGTGAGCTAAGTGAGACACTGATCGTGAGCAAGGATGGTGAGAAACAGGTGACCAAACGCATCGAACAAAGCAAAGAGGCGCCGGGAAAAAAGGGCGCCAAGCTGTTAAAGAAAACTGAGGAGGAGCGACGTCTCGAGCAAGAGGCACAAAAGCTTATCGAAAGCTATCAAAAGGTTAAGAAAGAGGCGGAGAAGTTGTACAATCTAGAGCTCTCACCGAATGCCACAGACGAGCCCCAAGGCTTTGACTTGAGCGCCTTCGAGCAGGTGGAAGAGCAAACCAGCGAGCACGCCACACCTGTGGATGATGAACTGGGTTATTTGCTGCATAAGCACATCATTGACGGTCCGGAGCCTAAGATAAGTGAAGTCACCCCAACACTGGCGCCAAAATCGAAGCCGCCGGTGCCTAGGAACAAACCCAAATTGCCGGTGGTTATTGGCAAGCCAAAAACCGCACCACCACCAGTGCCACAAAAGCGCAGCGAAGTTCCCAGTAAACCGACACCTACAACACGACGAAGCAGCTTCGAGCTAACTAGCCCCCCAAAACCATTGGAACGCATTATTGTGGGTGTAGAACAGGATGCACAGGATGCGCAGGATGCATCAACCATACCACCCATCGCTAGCAATCCAATTATCACCTTGGCCAGCGTCGACTTGCCAAATGTTGCAGCCACTGTGACCGAGCCTGATTTGGTGGCACATGCCGAGGACTTGCTGCACGATGAGTTGCACTTTGAGAGTCATCAGCTGCCAAATGTTGTGGGCCAACCACATAAACAAAAACAACAACACCCAGAAGGGGGGGAGGGCAGCATTCTGAGCACCTCCTCGTCCATCGATTCGGTAACCTCGACAACATCATCAACTGCAGACACAACCCCGATAACAACACCAATTTTGGTATCAGCAACGTCGTCATTGGATTCTGTTAAAAGTGTCATCGAGGTCATCAATAGGCATGACAACGACAGAAGCGAGAACAGCAACAATAACATCGTCAGCAGCTGCAACAGCAGCAGCAGCAGCAGCAGCAGCAGCATTGATAGTGTCAATGCAACAGCAACTGAACTTGTAGAGGATGTGTCAACGTTGTTGCTCGATAGAGAGCATGAAACAGGTGAGTGGCACATACTGTAACTGGTCGTTGGGGCGAGTCTGGGTCACTAAAATTAAACCCAAAATGGATTACGTAGTGTAGAAAAGGGCGTTCATCCTAGGGATTAAACTGTTAACTTGCTCTACAGGACATGAGAAGTTCGTTGCTAGTTTAGTTCAGTTCTAATAAACGTTAGTTGGTACGATTGGACTTTAACATTAATCTCTTTTTCTCTTTAAACATTCCTTGACACTACACTAGCATCTAGAAATATATATATTTTTAAATAAAGTTCACATTTGCTCAAAAGTAAGTAAATTAAAAAGGCGAAGTATGTGAACTCTAATTAGAGAAAGATCTCACTTGAAAAGGAAATTGAACTGAGACAATGACAACTATTTGGTTAAATTCTTGCAGCTATACTCGTAAAAGGTGTGGCATTCGACACAACAATTGTCTTAATAATTCATATGAGTAATACGAGCTTTCTTGCTTCAGCAATACCTTGCCAATGAGTAATATCCATTTATAAATATTAATTTTTTTCTATATGTATACTTACATAGTGCGAATATTTTTAAAGATTACGAATTGGTTTTCCGTAATCAGTCACAGCCCCAACGATTAATCGCAAATTCGATATTTGGCAAAACTATTTACTATTACTATTAGTGTTTTAGTTTCCGTTTCCATTAGGCTTGATAAAATGCTTGTAATTAGGATTTAATTTAGTTATCATCGAGCAGTTATTAAAATTATTTTAGAATTTAAAATTAACATATTCTTCACGTTTTTTTTGAAAATTTGTTCTCACCACTTTGTTTTGATTTTTTTGTATACAAGATTGTATGTATATTTGAATATTTGTTTATTAACATTTTATTAAAAATATATAAATGATTCTTTCGTCCGCTGATTCATATTTGGTGAAGGCTAATCTCATTTAATTCGAATTCATTTGCTGTGGAAAAAATATAAAGTACTTAGAGCTTTTAGCCAAAACAGAAACGGAATAAAAACTGTTCGCCCAACTAGTCAAATAGACATCACATGTTTAGCTATATATCTATTTTAGAAGGGAAAAAGGTGCGACATATTAATTTAACGCACAACATTCTCTTTGAAAAAACGTTATTTTTTGAAAGTAATTTAAAATTTTTGAACTCAAAGGGTCTTTAAAGATAAAATAGAATAGTATTGTCAATAAGTATTTTAGGGTTTAGAAAAGTAGAGATTGCATTCATTTTAGATATATTTAGTAGAATATTCTCCTGCAAGTTTTGAGGAATTTGCTCTATATTTTCCACAAACAAACACATTCATGTGAATTATTGTAATAAAAACAGTAAAATGAATATAGAAAAGAATAAAATATTTTACGTAACCCCTGAAAAAAGACTTCACACTAAAGTATTGCTCAAATCTATTTAAACTTTAATTTAACTTTAAGCTTTTCCCAGTGTAGTCGAATAGTTGATTGCCTTTTCGGCTGCAGTTCCCCATTTTTGGTGAGCGGTAATAATAGGTTTTATGTGTTTATTATTTGTCGTCACTTTAACAACTAACTATGCTAGGATGTGAGGATTAAAGAATGTCTTAAAGCAATGTGAAATGATATGACTACAGAGACGATATACCAACTCCTTAGTTTCAAATTTATGAAGCATCCATTGTGATAGCTTGTTATACAAATAAAAGTTGTATCATTTGTCACACTGCGAAGCTAAGCTAGTTGGCCTTATTATTAAATTACATTTTCAGTTTGCAGTAACACTGAAAAGTGCATTTAAAAACTAGACCACTAATAACCACCCGTAAGCCAACACTGCGCCTCAGTTGTCCAAGTCCATTAGTGGTATTTGGTGGCGTTTTGCAAAATTGAAACAAAAAGGCACACGACTGAACAAACGATGATGATGCTGCTTGGAGTTGAAATTGCGGTCAATGTGACAAGTTGGGGCTCAGAGTAGTGGGGACTCACATGCGTCAGTCCAGCGTCCGGCGTCCATCGAGCATAATTGCGAGCGTATGACTAACGGGCAGTTGGTTGGAGGAGCTGTCAAAAAATAAACTCTGTAGGCAGGCAGATGGACAGCCAACCAACAGACAGTACTGCATGAACTGGGCGGACAGACAAAGACAAAACCACAACAGATCGGGAAGCTTTTTAAATGCACACTGAGAGTTGCTCGACGGCTAGAGCCTGTAGCCTGCTGCCTGCTGATATAGGAAGTTGCTGACAAATTTGTGGGCTGTGTGTTTTTTAAGCTTATTGCGGTACTTTGTCGAATATGAATTTAATTTGAAAATGTTGTAAAACAAACCCTTACTAAAAAGGTATGAAAAAATATCATTAAATTTGTATAAATATACAAAATAAATAATTTAAAAGCATGTCGTCAATTAGCAATTAATAATTTAACAGTCATTTATTTGTATGAAGCTTTTATTTTTTAGAGGACTTGTGTTATCCATATCGGTTTTTTACAATTGTTCCTTAAAGTCATTCAATGGTTGTAAGTACTCAGTCATCGGAAGGAAGGGGATATATTAGAACACTTAAGCTCAGCGCAACAAAATCAACTTTAAAATATTTAACTGACTTTTGAATAATAGTGCGTTAACTAGATATTCGTGGAATAGCGAAAAATTATTGCAACAACAAAAACAACAAACGAAAAAAATTTAATTTTGTTTTGGGTTGTTTTGACCGTGTTTAGATAATCGATCCGCAAAGGTCTGATTCATTTTCACATTCCCTTGCAAATATGGATTTAACTTTAAAATTATTTTAAGCCTAAACAGCAACTTTCTGCCAGACATGGTGAAATACAAAGTTCTTCAAACACTTATCAGAATGTTTTTTTAAATAATCAGTAATTTTTTTTATTTATAAAAAATTATTTACATTTTTATAAACTAGTATTCTGCTACCAATATGGCAGCTTAAGCTATTTGCTACTTAATATGATACAAATACAAAGAGTTATACAACTATAGAGAACATTTAAATCTATGTAAATATACAATGCAATATTTACAATATGTTGAAATTAAATATGAAATATATGTTATGAAATTCTATATTTTACACAACGGATCTAGTGGGCAGATCCTTCGGATGGCACTTCTTAAGTCTTCTCTTCCTGGGTCTGGAGAGCAGCCGTCTCGCTAGAGCGTTGGCAAATACTTAGTAGGAAAAAAAAAACTTTAAAAAAAAATGCTGCTTGATATTTGGAAAGGTTGGACTATTCGGAAAAGTAGTGTTTAATTATGAAAGTTAAATGCAAATAGCATTACATCCACTTCAGCTATTTCGCTGATAAACCACAATACTTGGCCATATGGCCATTAATTTACACTGACGTATCATAAAAACGCTATTGGCAAAATATTTGGCTTATCCCACGCGTTGACAGCTCGCGTTCTTATCAGCTAAATACCATCGATGCATCGCATACATACAATTTATGTTATTATTAATTGTTATTTCTGTTGTTGTTATTGCTGTTGTTGTTGTTGGGCATTGGAATGCGCAGCGTCATGTGAAATAAATTTAATAAAGGCCAACGCGCACAGCCTTTGGCTTATAATTATGAAATGCGGCGTTGCGTAAAAATAATTTCTTTTTATGATGATGACGAAAACGAAATAAATACAGACATACTTGTACTACTATATACGGACTATATATATTTGGAAACAAAGAACACACACAAAAAAAAACGTTGCATATTTTGCTGCTTTAATTGTAAAAATGTGCTTCCGCAGGCAGTGAGCTGCGAAAATTGGCATATTTGTAATGTTTTTATCAGCGGCCCCGTACGGTTGGCCATAATGAAAAACGGGCCCAATCAATACATATGGAAATTGTTGGACGAGTGCGTGCAAAATTTCATTATTATTTTGTGGACAAAGAGCGCCCGGCAGTACCCGTAACTGGCATCGAACTAGAAACTGCTAAGCTGATAATTTGTGTTTCTTTTAATTAGAAATGCTTCAAATTTAAATTGATCTAGTTCTTTGGGTTTTGTTACTATTTCCATATTTGTATTATTACTAAAAAATCAAATTAAAAACATTTACCATAATCATCAAAAAATATTTTTTGTTTTGCGTTTAAAACTGTTTTGCTTTTGAATATATTATTTAAATCAAAAATTAAAATATATATAAAGTGGGACAAATCAGCCAGCCCTGCAAGCTATGCCCAGACTCACAATCATTTGTATCCAGAAACTTCTCATGATGCTGTTATAACAAGACATTTCTAAACTGTAGATAGATAGCCAGTTCTGTGCGAAAGATAATTATAATCGGAATAAAAAACCCATAAACGATTGTGTACAGCTTACTTAGCTGTGCATGTAGACAAGTGAAATGGTAAATGGATCCTAGTCGATCTGTAGGGAATAGAAAAGTTAAGAAGACCACCTAATAGCTAGTTAGTTAGTCACATCACATTAATTACTTGTAAAGAAACACAGCACCAAGGACAGTAAGCTCCATACACTGATCGGCAGTGCAAACTTAAAACTAAGTTAAAGAACATTTTTTAATAAGAACTTTACAAGTAATTAGCAAAACTAATCTTTAAGTATTTTTAATACTGGATATTAATGAAGAAACAAAGCTTTATACTCAACAAAACTTTATAAATTCATTGAGCTAATGAAATATATATATCCTTTGACTTCAATCACTTTTTGAACCGTGTCCCTATCTCATTCCAAAGACATTTAATCACGAAAATAATCTCTTCCTTGGTTTTCTGAAAAGACGCATTTGTGGCTGTTTTTGTCACGTTTAAGTCAGTCCTTTTTAAATAACCATGCTCTAACAATATAATTGACTTAAAAGAAATCTTAAATCATAGAAAAGACGACTAAACATTTTGAAACTTGCCGACTGTAGCTTTAAAATACATCTTAAATGAAATAAATTCTTTTAAACATTTATTTTGATATGTTTATCAAATTTTAAGCTAAAGTAAGCAAGTGAAATATTTATGTCAGTTTTTCTTGGAAAAAATGTTCCACCA